CATCATTTCAAATAAAAAATAATTGAAGTTTTTTTCCCCCGATCTTATTTTTACCTTTAAGTTTCATTCAAATTGTTCTCCCTGCGACTTCCGTATCGGGAGCTCCGCTTTTAGGCAGTGCCTAAATATATATATTATATTAAGGCACTGCCTAAAAGCGAAGCTCCTGATACGGAAGTCACAGGGAGAACAATTTGAATGAAACTGTAAAATGGCCCAACTGATGTTTTCTTTCCTTCTTAATTCTCAAATAACAAGCAGCGAGTCCTCCTTTTGCCATTCTCAACCTTTTTTGTTGGTTTTCAACTGATGAAGCTTGACTGTTTTAGCATTTTTGAATCCATTTTTAAGATGAAAATCCGCCATCTTCAATTTTATGAGAACTTCCAAAGAGGGAAAGCTGTTCTGTTGCTATGACAACTGCTGTGATCTGATTGGCTAGTTTGAATTTCTTTTATCTTTTCAACCAATCACTGAAAATTGTTTCACATTTTTGCAGTGGTGTTTCACATTTTTGCACTGGTGTTTCAGGAAAACAGCACTGCTCTCAACCAATCAGAATTTAGAAATTTTCGCATCTATATTCAGTTATTATGAATGTTTTAAGGTTTTTAAAGTGAAAGTCTAGGTCTTTATACAATAACATCTTTCTACGACACATTTTTATAATCAAACTTCCTCGAACAGCTTAATAAACAGTTGAATATTTGATGTAACTCTATATTTCATTCAATAATTAAATAAATTATCTGTAGAAAGATATAAAATTATTGAATGAAAGTCTTCTTCGTTTTGCCGATGGGACCCCGCGATAGGAGGCGAACAAAAAACATACAATAGTTGGTTAACTCAACCGAATTGTCAAAGATTTACAAAGCTAAATAAAGGACGAATATTTGTTGTCGTAATATGCTCTCCGTGTTATGTTTCCTACAGCATTAAAATAAATTAAGCTTATCTATAGAAATATAAAAGGTTTTGAGAGAAAGTCTTTGATTTGTCGATTCGTCGAGAAAAATGAAAAAAAAAAAAATGATATACGATTGTTTACTAATAAACACACACTTTCATTCATCTTTGACTACATGAAAGTTTTTTTAATTGTTTTTGGTCTATAATTTGTCCTAAAGCGATTTCGCTTGAAAACATAAGCTTACTAGATTTTGAAATTCAATTTAAAACAAACTTTACATTCATTTAAACTTGACAAGAACAACTGAGACAAAATAGAAAATAATGCAAAATGCAGTGTAAAATACAAAATAACAATCTTCTTTGTCAGTAAATTAGCATTTGTAAATGTTTTTGATTTTTTTGCTTGGTTATAAAGTGAAAGACTAGGTCTTTATACAATAACATCTCTCAACAACACAAATTTAAGCTCATTTTTATAATCATATGTAGGTCGAAAAGCTCAATAAACAGTTGAATATTTGATGTATTATTATATGTCATTCAATATTTAAATAAATTATTTGTAGAAATATATAAAATTATTGAATGAAAGTCAATATGAAAGTACTCTTTCCATAATAACATGTACACTTTTTCCGCTCGTTCGTTGAACGTTTGCCGGTAATTTTAGGAATGTTATTTATAGCTTTAAACTTTATCAAAAATCTCTTGGATTTGTTTAATTTGTGGAATTCAAAAAGTGCTTTTTCAAATGACTACTTTATACCATGTAAGAACTACGAGTACTCTTACCATAATAACAAAACAAGTACACTTTTTTTGCTCGTTCTTCGTGCTAGTTTGTTGCCGTCATTTTCCGGTAATATTGTAGTTATGCTATCTACATTAAATAAAACAAAATAGAAAATGTCCTAACCTCTATCTTCACACTGTGGCGAATTCTTTTCTTTCATGATTTCTTCCATAATTTCTTGTTTCGTTTTTAGCTCGTGAAGAGCTATTGGAGTGGCTAGATTTCGCATTTTTCGTTTAATGCTTCTCAGCCAATCGTTTTGGGTAATTCCCGTAAGAAGAAGAAGAATCCGAAAACAGCCTGGTTTGTCATATATTGAATCGATTAGACTCAATTCAGATAATCTCAATTGTAGAAAAATTTCGCAACCAGAAATCCAAAAATAAAAAAGGATTCTAGCCAATTTTTAATAGATTTTATCATTTCTTTCTTTCTTTTTATATATTTTCTTATTTAAATTTGTAATTTTTATATATATTCATATGTAAACTTAAGTTTTTCAATTTTATATTGCGACTTTACTGAGTATAAAATAAATATTATCTTATCTAATCAGAAGCCAATAATTTAAGAGAGAATTCTCTTCGTATTCAAGCAGTGAGCGCAAAAAAACTATTTTCTTGAAGAAAGGCTGTTGTACAAGGCTAAAATCTCGTTATTCAGAAAGTTTAACTTGTGTGGTAGTGGAGATGACCTTGAAAGTGGAATCAAAGTGTTAACGCAAAGCAAAAATTTTATTCGAAAATGAGGTTTAGGCCTTCATTTGCTTATTTCCCATATATTTTCTATAAAAAAGGCTGACAAACCAAGATTCTAATACAAGTACAACAAAACATCTTTGTACGATTGAAAATATCGCTTCAAACAGGCATTTTATCATAGTACATCAGTTTCTAACTGTTTAAAAAAAGTTTTGAGTGTTAACCCAAAACGAAAATTGGGAGGCAAAGCTCATACGAAAGTCTAGTTTTTTGGCGCTTTTTGCCATTATTGCTCATTATTGAAAAACAGTTCCTCCTAATTGATAAAGACAACAATTTGTTTGCACAAAACATAACTTCGACTATCACCTTACTCGGATCACAATACCCTCAATGAAATGAGTCACCAAGTATGTCATTTGTTATCATCTTAGTTTATTGGTACTCAAAAAGCAATCAGAAACGCGATGTACACCTGGCGGGCGACACTTTTAGCGTTACGCACAGGATTCCCGTGCGATGAACACGAAAACTGAGTTGGATAGTTTAACATATTCTATACCTATATCGTGCTCCGCTAAAAATATTGTAATGAAGAATTTGGATAAGACAACTGTTTTTAACTGATGACACGTTCAGAGCCATCATTTCACAAGTTTAGTTAGTTAATGATCTCCAGTCAATTTCCTATCTGATGATGCTAATGATGATGATGATGATTCGGGAATCTCCAAAATTTCGATATTCCAAGGTAAATTTCACTAAACCTGATTGTTGCATTGGATTACCTGTAGCTATCTTTCGTTTTTTAAGGTGATTGGGAACAGTTTATAGCCGACCGCATCAAGCTTGTTTATTCGCTTCGTTTATAATGTTGCTTTTATGTAATTGCCATGAAACTTTCATCAAATATTAGACAATAATTGAAGTTTATAATAGTTAATTTTTTTAAACTTCGATATTTCATAAGTCATATATCATAGTTTGTGTAAATGAAGCAATTTGAAAATAAAACGAGGGAAACACATTTGTTTTTTTCTTAATTTTAATATTTCCTTATAACTTTGATTTATTTAACGCTATTTAAAAAAAGATTTAACTATTATAAACGTCAATTATTGTCTAATATTTGATGAAAGTTTAGCGAATAAACAAGCATGATGTGGTCGGCTATAAACTATACCCAACCACCTTAAGTTAACCAAAAATTCAGCTGAAAAATATTGGCTATGGAAAACTTTGTCGAAGAATCTTCCAAGAACAAAACTAGCCCCTGAAGGGGCTGGTGGTGTGTTGTGTACAAAATTCCTAAGTATAAGAGCATACTCGCGCAAAGAAGTAGTACACTTCGATTCGATTTCAGTGCATGGTTTTTCATTGGAAAAAATTGCCCATACCGTTGGAATATTTGCTCTTTTCGGTCTTTTTTCTCTCTTTCCAAACCAAAAGGTTGTTCTTAAAAGTAAAGTTATATTGCACAAGTAAACTGCTTGACAAAACATCCTAAATGACCCGTAAATTTTCTGGCTTTTTTTTTTTTTTTTTTTTTTTTGCTAACTATTAGTTAGCGTGTTTAAGAGGCTACGAAACCTAAGAAAGCATAAGTGGCGAATGTATAGGCCAACAGATAGTATGAGCTTATAAAATCAGCAAAAATACGGTTCTAAATTTTAACAAATTCCTATGAATTATATACCAAAATGTTCAGGAAAGCCCGGTATAGTGTTAGTAAGTTGGGCTTCCTGTGGAGCCGGAATGCTCATGTAAGTTGGGCTCCCTTTGGAGCGAGGGGAATTGAGTAAAGATGGCGGCTGTTATCACATGTTGTTGACTCTGTGTCGTTTCTCGCTGAATCTGCTGCGCCTAGCTGCCATCGGACGCTACACCCGGGGTTTTCAAATCCACTTCTGTTTTTTTGACAGGTTCTGTTTTATTTCAAGGAGAGACGATTTTCTAGCTAGATAGTCATTATTTTGAGAAAAGATCCAAAAACCGTATTTTTGAGACATAATTTGTATGGGCTCACATGAGAGGGCGTGATCTTGAAAGCGTAGCTGACCAAATGTTAACAGATTTTTTTTCTGATGTGATGGGAGACATTATCTTCATCTCGAATAAAAAAAATGGAAGATTCTTCCTTCGATTTTATTTTTACCTTTCAGATTCACTCAAATAGCGCAGCGCAGTCGTGACGTCATAAAAACGAAGACAAAGGCGAAATTCGGACAAACAAACTTACAAGTTTACTTTAAGCAGATAATTTTCATAGCCGATCGCAGTTGATCTTAGTTTACAWGGGTTATTATTGTAASTTTAAGTAAAAMTAATAAAATCGGTTCGTATAATCCTCGTAGCGGTTAAACAGAATGCAATGTTTGTCCGAATCAGTCCCTAAATACATATATTAGTTATATGAACTATACCTACTTTGAGCGATAACCTGTGTTAAAAGTTGTCTGAATGACAGTATTTGGAATTTTTTAAACACTTAGCCCCCATAATTCCGCTCGGTCTCAGATTTCAGAACTCCGAACTCCGGCCTCTTTATAATAAAAATTATAAAAACAATAAAAATAAAAATAATAATGAAAAACAATTAAAAATTATCTTTATTCTTTATAAAACAAAGCATACATATCTAATGTAACAAATTCAATGTATAAACCCATTACATTGAAGAACTACCACCGTGTAGCCCTGTGACACATTGACAATCTGGCCTCAAATATAGTTTCTAGCTTCTTTTCACATTTCAAGGCTTGTTGCTGCTACAGCTGCATATTTAAAATGGAACAAACATTATTGTTTTTATAAAACGAATCCCCCTTTCCCCGCCAATTATAAGCCTATCAAAAAGTCCTTACGAAATTTACGATTTATAACCAAGAATCTACGGTATAGAATGGATATTATTCTAAACGATAGGTGGAACGCATCTTAAATCACATCCATCTCTACAGCATTTTAGCGGCATTCCAGGGTGCAACCCACTGCATTGGAAGTCGTATTTACATTCATCATCTGATTGTGGTGGACATTCAGCAGGTGTAGGGAAGATTGGGCAGATACCTTTGACTTTAGGTGGCATGCATCTGAAATCACATCCATCTTTACAGCATATTAGCCCTAATCCAGGGTGCGACTGATTGCAATGGATGTCGTGTTTACATTCATGATCTGGTTCTGGTGGACATTCAGCAGCAGGAGGGAAGATTGGACAGGCATCTGAAGGTGTTGGAGTGGGTGGCGCCTTTCCTTGAACTGGAATCACGCACTTTCGGCTCAGACATTTAGTAATGCAACACTTCACAAATGACTTCAACGCAGGATGCTTTTGTTTGCACTCTTCATCGTTGAAGCATTTATCTCGAACGTATTTACCTTCACATTCACTTGGGTGTAAAGGTAAAATACTGGGGCAATACGTTGGTTGGTTAATAACAGACTCAACGACAGGAGGAATGCACCTAAAATCGTTCCCATCACTGCAGCATTTCAGGCCTCGTCCAGGGAATTTCGCATCACAACTGGCATCGTTTTGGCATTCTTGGTCTGGTCCTGGAGGAGACGCGCTTGAGGGAGGGTTGGTGGGGCACTTTGCAACCAATTTGGTAAGGATATTCATTTTTTTTTTTAAACTTTCTGGGGTTACTTCTACTACGGACACTTTAGGAGACACACAACTTCTGCCGCAGTCATCACAGCACTTCAAACCCTTACCAGGATAAGTTGCTTCGCAATCCTGATCATTATTGCAAGAATTAACCCGGTTTGGTGGACAATTGGAAGGAAGGCTCGGAGGGCATCTTGTTAAGTTGTATGGAAAACACTGGACGGGTTCAAGGTCCAAATGCGCCAATAGAAAAACCATCCAAACTATTGAATACTTCAGGTCAGCCATCTTCTTGGTACTACAAAAAATACAAGAACATATTACAAAATATTAGTTTTACCCATGTTGAGGAAACAAAGTGGGTCGAGTTAGCATCACAATGCATTTTGGGGCTGTTTTAGGAGACGAAAAGTTAAAGAAGCCATCTTGAAAACATGTCCCCTAAAACAATCCCACAATGCACTACAATACCAGATCGACCCATTTTTTCAACAACCTCGGGACGAGTAATTCCTTGAATCGTAACAAAGAAAAAAACGTTTTTATTTTTGATATCAAAGTATTTTTTCCTAATGTTTGCTGCTGAAATTTTCTACATATTCGTAGGTACAAAATAATGTGTTTCTTTATTCTTATATAAGTATAATTAGATAGATCCGTATCTCGTCCGTATCTGGACGAGACTTGAATTATGACTACATCGCACCATATAAACAAACGCGCGGTTGTAAATAATGCTGAATCAAATTTGAACGTACAAAAAAAAAACAACACAGATGTGAATCTAAAAGCTGTTTTTTAAACTAGTTTTTGTACAACTGAAAATTAATTGTGAATGATTTACGGTTAGTCTCAATTTCATATAATTTGTTGCATAAATTACAGTTTTCTGGAGACCTCAGAAGCTTGACCGCAATAATAAAAGGAATATAATATGAACCAAAATCGTGAAATATCAGTTAACTGTTAACTACTGTTTTTAGGTTATTAGTCAGTTAATTAACTACGATTTTTTGACTAAATGACAGATAACTACTAGCCCAATTGGCACCCTCAGAAAGCGATTTGCAAACTTTTACCGTTTACGTGTGGAAGGGTAGGATTCATTTCCAAAAATATGCGCTGTTTACGAATGAAAACGTATACATGTGGCCGTTATCTTAGATCAACCCAAAGTTTGTTTCAAGGTTTGATCATATTAATTTTGATACTTTTTACGCGTACGTAACGTATTACCAGTAGACCCGGCGGCCATTTTTCTGGACGGATCGGGAAAACACGAAACAAATCATCTTGATAGATTTACCAGATCCTCGATGTTTTATCATGCAACAACACAAGTGTTTGAATCAGCTAACATAATCCAGTACGGCAAAAAAGCTCGCGTATATATTGTTTAAAATAAACTGAGGGTTTGATTTTAGAAAAATATATTCAATCAAAAACGGCTGATAATGATATAAACTAATCAATATATTTTACCTGTAGTCGAGTAATTCCTACGGTTGTCACACTGGCTCGTATGGTCCAATCCCTTGAATGTCACCCTTACTTATATCTCTGGATGACGTAACCGGATCATCATTACTGCTAAGTGTGAACCACCGCGGGAAGGAAGTGAAAGTCACGCCAGGCATAATTTGCAACTGACTGATATGCTTTCAGATCAGGAACGTTTTCCAGGGATGGCTGAAGCGGAATTAGTCAAAGTTATTCTGAACCGATTATTCTTTCAATCAATAGACCTTTGTCGATCGAATTCGCTTGACTGACCATAAAACAATGGTTTGAAGTCGAGAATGAACTTGATTCATTTATTTATCAAGTTCATCCTCGACTTGAAACCATTGTTTCGTGATCAGTCAAGGGAATTCGGGTAAGGTCTATTTTCCTGCCAGAGGTTTTGATCCATTTTAAAATATTACATTTTTCAACACTATTCATTGGATGGATCGTACAAAATAAGAGTAGGTTGTGAGTATTTCTCCTTTACGATAAGAAAACTATGGCGCAGGGACGGCGGAGCAGCTTTTTGATTGGGGGGGGGGGG